AGTACAGTAAGCAGAGCCTTGACATGGGGCCCAGGTCCATACATTTTCATTACCAGTTTTTATTCCTACTTCTTCGGGTAAAACATAAGTTTGCAAGGTTTTCTGTGTTCACAGACCACCTCTGAAGCCCAGGACTTACCAGTAGCTGTCCACAATGATGGCCAGCAGAATAGCTGTCAGGAAAAATACACCCACAAAGACGAAGATGCCAAAGTACAAGAAACTCCAGCTGTTCTTGTTAAAAGCTGGAATCATGAACTCCTAAAGATGCAAAGAAAGCAAATCCAAAACCTTCCGTAGTATGATCTACAAATGAGTTCATAACATACATCCATGTGTAACTCAATTTATGTCCCACTTGTAAGCAAAGCAAACTGCAAACCAAACGTTATTACACAGTTTCTGAACAAATGACTCAGAGAGAACTCAGAGAGCACTCAGGTGACCGTATGACTTTTTCCTGACATCATCTGCTATTATACACTTACAAAAAGTCCAGACAAACATTTATATTTTGCAGCATGTTTTACAATACAAATAACCCACTGGCTTCAAAGAAAGGACCAATCTACTCACTGGATAATTTTCTGTGGATAGCAGAACGAAGAGTCTCAACGCTGTGATGCCAATGTTATCAAATGCACTGAAAATGGAACCACAGAAAGCATCAAGTGTTAAAGAAACTGGTTATGAAAGTGCACCCTATGCTTGTCTTGTGTTAAACACCCACATTTAAACCTGCAGATTGGAAATGAAGGACTTGACACCTTGAAAATCCTCCGTAACTTTAATGATGAACTGGACCGAGAGAAAGTGAGTTTTTCTCGACTTAAACTGGGCTATGTAAGCCGGATTTAACTACTGTTTGTCAACCAATTTCAGTGCAATATCTTTGGCCTTTTGTCATGCTCGTGGTAGGTTGAAGGAAAGATCTCTTTTTCCATCTTTGCTAAAAGACTTACCCAGTGTAAATGTTGAAGGTGTCGTTATCACTGCAGTTGCTGGTATCTGTGACATTGCAGTTAATGCAGTGGTAAGACTCCGAGAAAAGATGCACCCCCATGGCAGAAAACATGATAATAAATATTAGGATGATGAAAAAAGTCTGCATGGGGAAAAGAGCAAACAAATAACACATGTTAAACCGTGGAAATCTGACAGATAAAAAATCTAATTGAAACTATATCTGCTACTCTGGCTACTGATAAAGACTTGTTACACAGTTTTGCGGAGGAGACTTTACATCTGAAGGTATGCTAATACCACTATCTGGGGTGGGTAGGTTAAGGTAAAACTTACTTTGATAAGGTTGATCACAATGGAGAGGACGGTATCAAAGATGTGACCGACATTCTTCAATTTGCACATGATGATGACTGCCCGCAGACATCGGAAAGGTTGTAAAAGACGCTGTACAAAAATAAATAAATAGAATTACCTACATGTACAATGCAACTCAGTTGAGATGTGTGTCCTGTTAGCAGGGACGTGAAGCATATTTAAAACCACTGCATTCAAATCAGCATAAATCTGCTGAGGAAGGCATTTTTTTTTTGGAAGAAAATCTTACAGTTGAAATATATTAGAAGGGCTAAAATGCTGCCTTAATATTTACTCAGAATCATTATTATAAAGACAACAGTTTGTCACCTGCAAAGGCTATGGCAAAGGTGGAGGGAGGCAACGGTGAAGTTCATTTTTATGATGTAACTCACAGCGTTAAGAATGAACGAATTTGCTAGACCCAACCAGATGCTACACATTTCTAGATTTTGGACAAGATGCTGACAAATTTGACATCTGATAATGCACAGATTCATTCACTGAATGATCTGCTGAGATCTTGTCTTGCAAATAAAGTTGCACACTACATAACTAACAATGGCCATACTTACAACTTGCACTATTTCTTGAATGACCAGCATTACAAAATCTACGCTGAACATGCATAAAAACACAAACTCCGTTCTGGAAGTAAAACAAAGGAAAGGAATAGGAGTAACGTGAAAGCTGAGTAAGAAATTTGACTACAAAAGAAAACAATGGTCGTAAATTTCTAAAAAGTGTTTTTAAAAACCAAAATCACTTGATAGTTTTTCTTTCAGTAAGGAAACGGTTGAGTACAAAGAAGTCTTATTTACACTATGATGTGTCACTGTGTCGGCATTGCCTCTTAGAGAACTTGTGATAATACGGCATCACTTACCTCATCCACTTGTTCTCGTCCAGCGACCAAAACACTCGCCATGAGAGAAAGCCTATGTTCACCCAGACATCAATGGTATACACCAGCAAGGAGACCATTGTTAACACGAAGACTGCAGGAGATGTCCTGAAGGCAGACAGTGTTCTAGACAATCAGCTCTGCTTACTTGTTACTTGCACATACCAAATCTTTGGTGTTACAATTTTACAACTGTAATCTTTTCCCATGTAAACTGTTCCATTTACGGTTTATTACTTTCAAAAGTTGTTTGGAATGTCATCGTTCTTCGCTCTGGGGCCTAAAGTAACTCATACACACGTACATCTGTGTCAACTTACTTTTATTTTTGTAAATAGATGCATTACAGTACCATGCAACGGCAGAGTGTCTACACACTACTGCAACAAACAAACCAAACTTTTTCAATGACGCTCTAGAATCAGAAGTGTCTGGGGGAATGTGGTCACTCACTGTTGTACTGCTGGTGGCTCAAGGAAAGCCATGATCATGTGCAGCACTGCCGCTAACAGCACGACAACAGTGAAAGACTTATTGTTGATCACCTTGAAGCATCTGAAGATGACATGAAAGAAAACAACCTTCCAATCAAACAGATTATTCCAACGAGTTTCATAATTTCAACTGAGCTCAGTATGCTAAAATGAATTAAAAAACCTGGTTTAAATATTGTACATGTAGCTACAAGCCCCCAAACCTTTTTCTAAGTTCAGCTGATGTCCAGTTTATGTTTTCAATAAACATGTACTTTGGTAATGACAAAGGTAATTCAAATGAGAAGCAATCAATCCTTGCTATGTTTGGGGCCTAACCCTCGTTCACACCTGTTAAACTTCAATCATGACAATATGGAGGTCCATGTACAACAGCTGTTTACACACACTGCAACATGAGCATACATGTACATGTAGGGTTAACCCTGGTCCGCATCAAGCTGTCTCTTTGCATCCCAGTGGATTCAACAAAAAGAAAAACAAAATTAATAATACTGGTTTTGTTCCATAGAGCAGAGTACATGTAGAACATTAGCTATGTCACATTACACTGCCGCCTGTGTTGACTTGTAAATCCAACAATATGCAACAACTTCTGTCCGCTATTGAATATGTTTAATCCTCACCAATGAGTGACAAGCCATCATAGCCACTTCTGAGTTACAGGTAAATATCTTTCAGAGAATCTTACACCATGCAAATCAATAGGAACCTTCCACAGTTTTCAAACATCAATGTAACGGCCATTTTCAACAGGATGCTACATGTATGTGAATTCTGAACCAAAATGAAGAACTCAGTTTGCTCTTTCCAATACAAACAAAACCAAAATGGCCTCAGAGATCATTTTGTGGGATCCCGGAGGAAGGAACAGGATCAAGTCATGTTTTATTGTACACATCAGGGTTAAAGGAAAGAGGAGGGAAGAAAGCATTTTGGACTTACAACTGTCCCTGTCTGGAAGTGAAGAAGGCTCTTGCTTTGCCCCATTTGCCCCGGCCATTGATGGCATCGTCAATGTGAGCTGCGGCCAACTTCAGCTCCCGGTGCTCGCCACAGAGATCGGAGAAAGTCCGGGTCAAGGCATCGTGCTGTCAACCACAAGAGTAAGGTGGTGGTTTAAAAAGCAGTAAACGATAGATTATGGCCCGGATTCGGTACTACTACTTGCGTCACACACATCGCATTTGAGTATTAGCAGAGGGATGCCAGAGTTACACAAAAAAGGATGCCAAAAACCCAAAGCAGGTTCAACCTACACATAAGACTCTCAAGACAATATTTTTATTCCAATTTCTGAAGAAGCAACAAAAAAGGAAAAAAGGTAAATTAGCTAGATCTATCCATCCACATGTACTCCATGGCTATATATATTTTTGGGGGGAGGGGGAGGGGAGAACCAGCTCCCTTCAAGCCAGTAGTACAAACAACACTTAGACTGAGGCTTTCCAATAAGTGTTCCAAGTGCTTCTCTGCTCAAGAAAATGACGTGCAAAGCACACGTCTACTGTACTCACAAATTCTATTAAATTACCAGTATAACATGTCTAAAACCTTAAAGTTCTAAATCCACCCTAAGCGATGATCAATCATCATGGGTACAGTCTGCCTGCACAGACTCTCAAAACAAACACTCAAACTCCCACCTTGTCAAACTTAATTAACTATCCATTAATCATTTGGAATACAAGGCTTGTGCTCAAGTGCGGAGCAAGTTACTTTAAAAAATGCCTGTTATCAGTTGAAAAGAAAGTGGATTGGGCACTGCATACATACATGTACATTGTATACTTGTGTACAAGTACAGTACATGTATGTATTGTTTATGTACCACTGCATAAAAACAGTGACAATCTAAGCATAATACACTGAAAATCTGAACAAGCAGATTTCTTTCTGTGCCATCTATAATACATGTACACGTACTGTAGGTTCCTTTCCCTGGGCCTGAATCCTAATTTTCACAGGCCCTGGCAGTTAACCCTTAATTTTTCCAATGGAGCCGATTTTACTTGTTTTTAAAACATGTAACCCACATGAAATATAACCACCATTTCTTCAATTCAGCAGCTGCTAATGGCTTCATTTCTTAAAGCACTGCCATGAGTTACTAGGGTGCGTATCGTAAGTCCGACGCCTCATAGGTCTGACGCCTCAAAAGTCTGAATAATCAGACTTATGCGGCGTTGGAATAATTAGGCGTCGGATTTATGGGCAATATTAATGAGGCATCAGTGCAATTGACTGTGAAACATGGAGGAGTGCGGGCCCGCGCGACATGTCGCCTACGAGCAAGATTCAACTTTGTGCCCTACTCGTGCCTATGGTACTGACCCTGTTAGGAAAACTAAATCAAGTGGACTACCTGCACAGTTCGTACACTGGTCCAGTATTTTTTTAATCCAAAATACCACTACATGTAAGAATGATGTATGATACTTTGCTAAATATAAAAGGCATTTTTTTTACTGTAATAGTTTGAGAACTTAAAAATGTTTATATGTGTCATAAATAGTACACCAGGGAACCAATCTTGTTCCTAGCGCCGTTTTCATACGCTCGTAACGAGCGTCAAATCAAACGTCAGACTTTCGAGGTGTCAGATTTTTTTGAGGTGTTGGATCTATGCCATCGGCTGAAAAACTTGGAACTTTTAAATGCATTTGTCAGACTTATGAGACGTAGGTCCTATGAGGCGTCGGACCTATGAGGCGTTGGTCTTATGAGGCGTCGGACCTATGAGGCGTTGGACTTATGGACGTTCTCAAACGCTTTTTTTGGACTTATGAGGCATCGGAATTATGAGCTGACCCCAGTTATTAGACTGTGTATGGAAAATAATAGCAAATAATGGTTGCAAAGCCTACATGTATCTGATTCCTCCTTCCTCACCAATCACCTGAAAATTATACATTGTACAAGTCTAGAACTGGTGATATCATGTGTACACGGTGATATCATGTGTACACGTAAACTGTACACATGCATACATGTACTGTAGCTCCATGGGCAACACTGAAGCACCCTTCCACAATTAAAAAAGATGTCCTGGTTGGCATGTGTGGGTACTGATAAGAGTGCACTGTACATAGGAACCGGGCAAGCAAATATTGACCAAATGGTGTCTCCATGGTGCCAAGTTTATAAGTCTTTGCCTTATGTCACCAGTGAGGAACAGGTTAACAGCTGACAAGGACCTTAAGTTAAATTGACATGTTGGCTGCAATTACACATAGCTGGAATTTTATGCCGTTGTTGATTTAACAGTCTGTGATTCCCAACAGTGCGTGCAGGACTCCAATAAATGCACGTCTCAGTATGGCGTACATCCATGGTCCCAGTCAGCAGTTTATAGCTCGTGAGGATTTATCCAATGGCATTTTGGTTAAGGACTTCCCTCAACTTAATCCAATCCTCCAAAGACATGAGGGTACATGTACCGGGGTAATTCCAGAAATTAGGGGTCTATTTTTTGTGCCCCTCTCACATCTGACATATGATCTCCAAAAGTGATGAATTTAGGCAATTACCTGCCAAACAAATAGTTATACCAGTAGTTTGAAATCAATGCCGGTGATATTTCCATGTCAAATAACAAAGGTCAGATGTAACAGGGACACAAAAATGTCACACTTTTGGACCCCTAATTTCTGGAATTACCCATGAATGATTTGCAGGAAATAAAATACATTTTTTATGGTAACCAAACTTTACAAAAGGGCATTGAGTCCCAATAAAGTACATGTACCTGTAATTCTGACTAAGGTTTACAACACGTACATGTACCTCAATTGTGCCAAGCTCATTGAAATCACAAGGTTCATTTTGAATGATTGCTAGAGGTTACATGTACGGTGAACTTTTCAAATCAGACAGCATGCGCTACTTTAGATCAGAATTCTGCTAGACTGATTGTGACTTAAGCAGGCTTTCAAACACTTTGGTGTGTAAAACAGAGTAGTCTGACCTACCAGTATGTTTGTATAGTCAAGACAAGCATTGAAAATATTTTATACTCATCATAAAAAAGTTTCTGAATCAAATTGGTTTGGTTTTGCCTCACTGCATATAAAAATGGAAAAGTTGAATAAAGGACTGTATTACTGTTTATCTTCTTGTGTACCCAGCGATACACATACAGGTAATGTACATGTATACATGTATGTACATCATCTTTGATCATGGAGAGGGGTGGAGAATGAAGGTATTACATTTATAACTGCTCCCTCACCAAACAAACCAACTGATGTAAACATGCATGTACATGCTCAATAAATTTCAAATCTTATGATTACTGATACGTTAAATATTTGGCTACAAGTTTTCAGGTATCTTGTATCTTTATGATCAATTGCTTCCTTTTCCTTCATGATTTGATTCTAATCAAACAACAGCTTTTTGCCTACTAGTCTTCATCAGCAATAATAAAGAAGCAAGAAGTTGGTCTGGAAAATTATGCTCATCTTCCAAGCCATGTGATCTACTTTTAGCTTTCAACTACACCCTTTGTGTTCATCCCAAATATTTGCTTTAAAAAACAGGATGTCTATTAAGATTTTTGATTTCAGAAGAATTGGGCAACTTCTCATGAATCAAACAGGACAAATGTAACTGAAAATCAATATATTGATTGATTACTCAAGTAACCAAACGATACTTACGTGCCAACGCAATATCAAATATTATGAACTGACTGACTTACCCCATCAACAGCAGGCACAAGACAAAGAGCAGGTGTAAGAAGACCATACAGGCCAAAGTTCTCCTGAGCTGAGCGTTGTTTGAAAGTTCTCACTGTGGACTTTGGAGGCTCTGGTTTCTCTCCAAGTGCTGCCTTTTGCCTCTCAATGGAGTCAATATCGTCTATCAACCGTGTCTTGCCGTTTCTGGGGGGATTTTCAGCAGCAGCCTTCACTTGAATCACGGGGTCGGAGACCACAGGAGTCTTGCGATTCCTCCTCGGCTTCTTCTCACACAGCGGGGAGGTGCTGCGATTCAGCACAGGTGAGGGAGTGTGGATCAGTATCGGGGAGCTACTCCGTGGTGAAGTCGGTGTCAACCTCTCCTCCGGATCCCCAGGGGGTGTGTGAGCACTCCTGACAGGGGAACCCCTGCCTGCAAGACCGTAATCAGGGGAATCACATGCGGGTCTGACCAATCCACTTGCATTGGCAGAGCCCTGTCCGCCTTTGTGTGAATTTGCAAGGATACCATTAAGAGGGCGAGGTGGGGTGCCTAGACGAGGCATGTCAAAGTGTGACGATTTGAGCAGGCCCTTGTTTTCATACTCTGTGGACGAGTCCGGTGACTGCTCTTCAATCTCCCTCTCCATCTCCACAATGAGGTTCCTGTAAGCGGCAACATCCGAATCCTCCCCTTCCTCTTGCTCTTCCTCCAACCTGCCATGGGCTGCCTCCTCAGCCATACGGTCCTTGGGGAAAAGAACAGTGTATGCACCAGTCCCACTGCAGAAGGAATGGCTGAATATGAACGTCCCTGCAAATATTCACCAGCATGCAGGGTGCGAAGGTACACAAAGCTACAATCCGGGGGAAAAAGGCAACTTCATGACGTCTCTGTTTCTTTCACATGGTGTCTGGACTGTAGCTTGACATATCACTCCTGAAGCACATAGGTGATAGCCACTGCCATTCTTGCTTTACTTCCAATGTCAATAGTCCTTCGCACAGGTTCACAGATGAAATGTACAGATGTCGGGTTCAATCTGCAGAAAATGCAAATGAAGGCTATCAGACAAAATTCCTTAACTGCTGCTTTTAAACAACTTACATGTACACACTTGTGTGTAAAAGCCTTCAATCGTGGACTCCCTATTGTCCCTCTTTTGTTCATACTTTAACTTTTTCGGAAGACCTCCCATATGTTTTGTACACGTTTTCCAACCATGGACTCTTCGGCAACCATGGACCCTATTGTCCCCTATTGTTATAGGTCCACCATTGAAGGCGTTTACACACTCAAGTACTTTCTGCAGCAGTTGGTATTTATCATATTAGCATCTCAGTAACAGAGTTCATTGCATGAAAGCACAAACAAGGCTAGAATGCCCATAAATACATGCAGGGGGAGCAGGTGTAGCATACATGTACATGTATTTAGTGTCTGTGTTTGTACCTGAAACTAGATTTAACCTGCCAATCTTTCATTTAGGGAGCGTCTCGTACTTTGTGACAGTTGAAACGTTCCCATTAGGAACAGTCACGTTCCACGTGGGAACACTGTGAGAACGGTCCGACGGGATCCATCAGAATATCCTTATACGGGTAGCTTCAATCACCTATGTACAAGTACAGTGTACTAATCTTAGCCCAATGTCCAAAAACAGTGTCTGCCATGACAAACAAGGGTAGGGCAATCAGTACTTATGATATGATGGAATACTAATGTGTGGAAACATTGCAATGATAAGCCCCTCTACCACACAAGCCTGACAATGAAGAATAAACTCGCAAGTACAGACGTTAACATTAATTAAAACAATAAAATTAGCGGTGTCCAGAAATACTCTGAATTGCATGGTAAGTTACGCATACATGTATACGTCATGGTGAGTATGGCAAACAAGAAAAACGGGACAAAAGTTAACCTTCTGGAGGAGTAAATCACAAAATGCTGCGCTCCAGCTGCCATGCCTCAGATGCATGGTCTAGAAAACGAATGCCAGAAATCGTTCTTCCCGACTGTGAATGTAACAGCGGGACCGTTCCACTGGGAACACATGTTCCCAAAAGAACGCTGCCAGGAACGAACGGTCTATGCACAAAGCGTTCCAGTGGAAACAGTCCAACGGAACAGAAACATGCCCGATCTTTGAGACACTCCCTCAGCTGTCTGTACACAGGACAACTGTACTTAAATCCCTAGAATCTTGAAGACAGGAAATTGCTACTCAGATTATTCCTGGATCTGTCAACTGCCTCCATCCAATCAATTTTTAAAAATGCACAAAAATGCAGTTCTTTGTGGCCTGCTGATAAAAGTTTGTCTGTCTTGAACTGTAGACCTACTCCAAACAAAAAATGAAAGGTTAATCATTCTTAAAACAAAACAAAAACAAACGAACAAACAAACAAAACCCTTAAAAAAATCAGCTAAATCTAAAATCCATTTCACTAGCACTGACTAGAAAGTGTTTACATTAAACACTTAATAGTGAAAAAATTGACAAGGTTTTCCCGTCCTTCATTACATATCTGACAGCCGTTCAAACAAGCCGCATGTACATGTACATGCACCGTTATGTATCCTTTGCTGGTGGATAGCTGGTGTTTGCCATAATGGGGTACATGTATACTTTAAATGTAGTTCTCTGATGGCATAGATAGGGGCCACGGAGCCAATTTCTAATTAAAGTACATCAGGCAAGTGCTAGAGACGATACTGCAAACATCAACCCAATCAATATCATTTTCTGGCCATTCCGCCTTGTGCAAAGAGGGGTTGAATAAATATTGACTGAAATGAGAGAGTGACTGGTATTGATTGGCTTTGAGATTCTCTTGCATTCCTCAGAATGGAAACTGGATTCTTTCAGGGTGTTCAATGCTTCTGGTCCGTCAGTGGCCTGCTGCCTTTGTGCACGACCACCAGGATCAGGCTTAAGGAGAGTGCCACACAATAGACTGGTTTAGATAAAAACATCAACCACGTACATGTACCATCAGCAGTCAGATCTGTGCACTTCTGTAGAGGAAAGAAACTAAATGTGTTAACTTTTCAAGAGAGCAAAAGATGGCTTTTGTTACCTTTTCCAAGATTAAGAGATGAATTTTTGTTACTCTAGATATTTTTTAAAAGATATTTTAGAATATGTATGTTTAACCTAAAAAAATGAGTTACATCCCAACACGGCAACACCCTTACAAATTATCACATGTAGGTATTCACAGGTAATACTAAAAGTTCTGTAAAGCAATTTTAAATTGGACCACATCTGAAAAGAAAAAAGGTTCTGACCAAATCATTTTATGCTCATGCTGGCACTGACACATACATGTGTGTGCAGCTGTACTTTGTAGGGCTTACATTTATTTCTATGATGAAAGGGCACAATTCTGCACTCCCGTAATACCAGTTATCTACATGTACAATGTATGCGTAAACAGGTAACCAATGAACACAAGGAAAATATCCCATCTCTTTGTATTTTTCTTTTACACATGTTTGGAAATATTAGTGGTGAAGTTGACTCTCTCATGATCCCATGTGTATTGTCGGCAGCAGGTTACAGTGTCATGAACATTATGAAACCTTTAAGGTCACAATAACTACCCAGTACAAAAGTTCTCCCGTGTTTAGTACAGCTTAGTGCATTTTGGGGATACCACCTGTATATGCAATGTACATGTACATACATGTACAAGGCTCAATGAGCTTCACGAAATAGGGTGGCTGGACATTAAACATCAAGTAGAATTTCTCAAGGCAAGTCGTGTTTTAACATTTTTAACCAAATCTCTCCAAACTACCTCCAACACAACTTCACTTATATTAGAGATGTCCATCATTACCCCACGAGATCTGATCAGTTCAATTTTTATGCTCCCCACATCAAAGGAACGGACATTAACTTGTTTTTTTAGACCGGGATTAAATCATGGAATTCACTGCTATTCACCCTAAAACAGTGTGAAAGGAAATACTTATTCAAAAAGAAGCTGTAAGAGTTTTTTTATAAAATTCATGCTGCCGAATACAACTAAATAAAGTTGAATACTGTATATACCCGATATATATGTACAATGCACCTGCAGGATGGCACATATATTTTTAGTACAATAAGCTTGTAGATGATGCTTTAAGGCCTTCAATTTTTATGCTTGAATTTTGATATTTTAATGTAAATAATCACCGACATAAACAAATTACATTTCTTTTTGGATACCTATCAATTACTGTCTTGATTATAATTCTAACTGATGCACTAAGTATTAAGTTTTATGGTTGTTTTTTGTTTTGTGTAAATAGTTTTTTTTTTTGTAACAACATGTATTTGTAAAGAACGGGGCTAAACACAACTTTTTAATTATTTGTACAAGTTGTGGATATATGCAATAGTGTAATTGTCAGGGTTTACAGAGCAATGTTCTGATAGTATGTGTTGATTTTGGTATTTTTTATGACTTTTTAAATTTTGTGAAGGATTTTACTCTGTCGGTATTTTATTGTACTCATTTTGGTTAATCTCTCATCACTTGGGAGCCCAATGGAAATAAGTTAATTTAACCTTTTTGCGTTATCCCTACTATTTCCACTTTTGGGAATCTTTGACTTTGCTTTTACAATTTTTTATGGTAATAATATTTGGTGGAAATAGTGAATAAATCAAATCAAATCAAATCAGCAATGTACCAGCATTCAAAAGAAACCCCCCCCACATGTTCAATATGTATACACGCACATCATGCAGCTGTCCTTAAAGAGAGTTACAATAATGCCTCATGGTAAGTACTTCTCCAAGAATCCCCCTATTCACTCTCTGTGTGTAAACTACTCCATTCAGCACCATGGAAACCCAACCCAGCCAACCACCACACAGACTCTATTCAACTGAAGTAGCCCAAGCATGGAGGAAGCATGGCAAGATACTGTACATGAAGCTTTGAAAGTGTTGCACCAGGATGTGTATTAAGAAGACAATATGCAGAGATTGAATAGAGAATTAATGGCCTGTGTATTCTGATGACTGTACATATGTACATGTACATCATGTACAGAGTATATGTTTTTGTTTGTGTACTTTCCTTTGAAGTCAGTGGGGGCCTATGGTCCACTGATCACTGTAGGAAAGAACACACGTAAACAAGGTACGTTGTCATCAGTATGGGTTATTTATGGTTAGAGCATTGTACAGTTGAATGGCATTTGCACGCAAAGCTGAAATTAGCTTCCAATGTACTGTACTAAATTTAAACCCGACCAACCAACAAACTCAAACCCAATACTGGAAACTTAAGTGTTCAATGTCCATCATGTAAATCCATTTATGTGCACGTAACACAATGTGGTTTTTACGTGTACATGAACTCTGAATGCACACACAAAGATATTATTGCATTAAATCTAAAGAAACAGAAAGCTTTTCACTGATGAAATTACACCTTGCACCACAAAGTAACAAATTGTGAGCAAGTAAATAGGAATTTCTTTCTCTCAAGAAAAGGGAATATGATGCCTTTTTTCCCCATAAGAAACACAGAGTACATGTACATTAAACTGTACAGTAAACATGTGCATTCCTTTCCAAGGATAAATGTTTATGTTTATAAGCAGGAAAACAATTGTATGCATCCAAGATTCGTATCCATTTCATGAATGCCAATGTAAGTGAGTTTACCATCGAACAATCAAACTCACAACTTGTAAAGGTGTTGTTCCATATCATATTGCAATTTGTATCAATTTATGCAATGAGAAATTTTTTGACATTCATAAGCTGTACGTACAGTAGGCCCACCCCACCTTAACAGCCAATGGTTTATTCTTCACAAAATGATAACATCTAGGGTCATACAAACAACAAAGTAACAAACAACCTCTTAATTTAAACGAGCTAAATGTATTGCCCATGGGAGACTAAATAAATATTGATCTGCTGTGGATCACAAGTGGTTGCCCTGCCAAAGCAAACTGTGCCCAATCATCTTCTCACTGTGGCAAAACACGAACTGGTTTCTGCAATTGAATTGGACACCGGTCTACTGCTTTGCACATCACATTCAAAATTCAGGGTTTTTTTTATGTAGGCTAACATGTACATACATACTTGTGCCCTTTCTTTCAAGTCAGTTATGGCATATTATTGCTTAAAACAATAGTAACAATGTTACGTGTAACACTCAGTTCTTTTAGTTCACTGCTATCAAGCACTTGTACAAGTATGTACATGTACATGTACCTTTTCTTGTCACCTTGTTATGATTCATTTTTGTTTTTGAGAATACATGCACTTTTAAGTGCTTTTAAGTACTTTTAAGTCATACTTTTTCTCCTGTAAACTTCCACACCACAAAGCAAAATGGCGGATGATATCCATGTACATGCATGTACCATATGACTAGCAGATGAGCTCATGGTTAACAGAATTCAAAATGACAGTTTCTTTAGATAAATCATGTCTTACTTGTCTACTTCATGTACATGTACCAGGTATATTGTACATGTATCTTACAATGTTTATAACATTGGTCAGGTCTTTCTTTTGTTACAAAAATCATACATGCGTGTACCAGTAAAAAGTCAAGGAACTTCAAGAAAGTTCAAGACATTTTGAAAATTAAATGAATATTCGGCTTGAATAACAAATAACAAGCTATGACATGTTGTGCATCACAACTCAAGTACGTAATGATATATATGTACTGAGGGACATGCCCTATTGTAGTCTGTCTCTAGTCACCACGGTCACTGCGGTGCGCCAAGCAATTCAATTGCTCCTGTTCAACCTCACTGGGATGACTTCAGAAAGGCTAAATCCTGTATACATGTATCATACATGTACATGTAGGTCATGGCATTTGGTAAAAGTACTGGTATCAGTGGCTGCAGGTGTCAAACCTTCCAGCCGGCTTAATAACCAGAAGGTAAATGTGCAAGTAAAACCGCTGGCAGAAATAATTTGCAACAGTTGACAAGTTACAATGTAGTCTGTACATTGTACATGCATCATTTTTTCTTGCCACAACAGATATGTATGTGCATTTAACCCATGAGCTAAAACAATTACCGACTATCAACTGGAGAGCTTTCAAATTCTCATTTCTACAAGAGCACACTACAGGCACAGGGGAAAACCACTGGAATAAAGTGGCCTTCATTGTGGCAACATCAAATTTAAAAGTGTGATGCGTCCAAACATACTGCAAGATTAGTTTCTTGAACTTACCCAGTATGTACGCATAAATTGGCATACATCTTGTTTGCAGCTTTTTCACCAAAATGTTTTCATCTTCAACTTTACAAAATGTGAAATGAAGCATGGTTTTTCATTTTGAAACTTTACTCAACGAAGTTTCCTAGAAAAAAAAATTTCACAAATGTATTCCATTATCTGAGAAGTTATTGAGAACATGAACATGTAATTTGTAAAGTTTGTCATACATGTAAGTACCTTTTTGTCCAACCCATAATTTCCATAATTTGAAATAAGTTAACAGGAGGCAAAATATGAAAATTCAGATGAAAAACAGGCTTTTTGTTACATTATTAACTCTTTGCAATGCCCACATACCGGTCCATGTACATACATGTACATAAACATGAATGCCATATCCATATTGATAAATTTCAAACTAAAGAAGAGCCGGAAAGTAAGATCTTTTTTACTGAAGATTTTTTTTTTGGCAAAAGGGTGGGTATCTTGAGCCAAACGACCTGTGATTTCATTGTAATAATGTAACTGGTGCATTGTCAAGTTTTCAGCTTTTTTTAAAATTAATGTACAAAGTTGTTGAGAAACTGTATTTCTCGCAGTTTTAAAATAAGAGCAACTTGTGAATATCTAAAAAACATGTGGCTCATCAAAACTATGCCAATTCCTCGATGAAAATGATCAAGATACCATACATATTCCAGTATCTGATCATCCTTCAGGATGTGCAACAAGCAGCAGAAGTCTGTTCATTCTTTCTCAATTCACAATACTCATGGCCCTTACTTTTTCTTTAGATACAATTAGTTCCAAACTTTTTATTTCTAAACAGGAAATCTTTTGCAACATGTGCCTGGGCCTTAGGCCACTGCCAACAAAGCCCTAGGTCATATTATGACCTCCTGTGTACAGGTAGCCGGCAACGACAAAACAATAGAGTTGACCTTTCCTCGATTTGTCTCCAATTTTCAGCTCCGCATTTGTCAGGTATGTACATGTAAATGTACACCAAGGAGTTCCTTTTTTGAACAGAATTTTTTCATTAATGCATTTTTAAAATTGTTTACCCTTGTCTCGTCATCCTTCAACAGTGACAGTTTTTACTTGAAAGCAGCCATCTTAAAAATATTTACCATGGAAACACGGTCAAAATCACTTCTTCCACACGTACATGCAGCTCTCAAGAACATCAATTTCAAGTCTAAATGCAAAAACTGGCTTGTAAATGTTGGTTGTGCTGAAAGATTACAGAGAAAGACCTTAACTTTAACTGAAGTCTGAGATACAGTGTTTACCAATGTAAAAAAAAAGCCTGATGGCCTATCAAGTTTTGTTTGTCTGCCAACATGTTTTAAAAAATAGCCATCAAGTTATGAAGACTCGCCACCAAGTTTGAGTTTTTGGGTGCTACATTTATCTTTATAATATTACATTATCATCACATTATCTCAATGAACATCATGAATACCAAAACTGTTAAAAAACATAAAGGTTTAAATTCATTTAAAAAATGCTTTGAGAATGTTGTCAACTCTTCACACAATTACAACAAAGGGAAGTGGCATCAAAATCTATATTCTTTCTGATGCGATGGATTTTTTTTTGAACAAATAACATCGACAAAATGTCAGACCATCATATCACCGAACATAATCATAATTTTTGACAGACCATTGTTTCACAGCCCCACATAAATTTATAATAAACAGACAAGTTTTGAAACAACCAGATCTACTGTATGTGTGCCGATAAGCCCACTTTATCACACCTGTCCTAAACGTACATGTATCTATGGCACAATTCCTCAGTTCAATATTTTTGACTAAGATTCCGGGAAAACTGATTCAGAAAAAGCAAGTGCGGCAGGGTTCAGTGTCTAGTAACCACGTACTCGCCACCCACCTCACCTTTTATTTTCATTTAAAGAGATGTCCATTCAACTTGGGCTAAAAACTCAAATTGTCAGAGGAAAAGCTGCTTATTTTTACATTGGGGTGGTATTTTAAAAAACTTGAAAAAAAATGTTCATAAAACTTGTAAATCATGGGTGTGAAGTTTCTTCTGCAAGTGCACTGGTGTCCCATCGCACTAGCATGAAAAATTGACTGCTCATACATGACATGCATGATGTAGCATACGATAAAGTTATCTGCAGATTCCACAAATGGCCTCAAACTAACTGAATTAGTCTATGGGAGTTGGGACCATAACTGGGTCTCGGCCCTTTCCATGAACATGAAATCAAACTTCACCTGATCCAAACAATACTATTATGTCATTGGTTATAGAGACTAAACACTACGTTATTCTTTCCAGTCCATGATGTAAAGTAAGGCATGTTACAGCCACGAATCTACTTACCTATTACAAAAACGGCCCAGTCGGCCTAGGCGCCGAGGCTACTGTCAACAGAAACTTCCGGAGGTGTAAGTTTCTACTCTTTCTTCAAAGTTATATCCACAAGTCTGGGGTGTGTAAGTTGAAAGCAGACACTTTTTCGTGAAGTTGCCGGTGATACAAGCACCTGTATTCCACTTATTGATCGCTGATTATCTGGATTTTCGGATTGATCTTCAGCCCATTGTCAGTGATCACCGTCGCAACAAGTTGCATTAACGTCACTCGCAGCATGCAGTTACATATACGTATAGATACATTGTACATGTACATCCCCATACCACTTACACGTCCACACATACACGTATCACAGCGCACACGTAGTGTACATGTACATGTACATGTACATGTACATGTACGTACCTACAGTACAGATCTGATACAGCGCAGCATCGTAAAGTGGACTGCCGCCCTCTTTCTTCCTTTCTTCAATGTTTACGACAACTGAAGTTGGGCACGTTCACGTTCCCAACTACAGTTTGACATATCCCAATTGTGCGAATACAGCATGGGAAGCTACATGAACCTAATTGCAGATGGACAGAAACCAAATGGAGCTGGTGCCTTGGCCATTTCCCAATACTCGACTTCAGTTTGAGGGAGACTTCAACTTTTTTTTTACTTCCTGACTTTGAGGTTATAAGCGCAATAGTAAGCTGATAGTGCCACAAAACATCAGATAAGTTGCAAAAGAGCCTAACATTACAGCATTTCAATTTAAAAGTTAAACGCTTTAGGCTCACAATCGAGGATTGGTTTCCTACACGAACCTAAACGGAGACGAATTGAGCATAGGAAAACGGCCCTTGTCTTGTCTTTGATGAAACAGCAGGTTGGGTCTCTTTCAGTGGCTCTGTTTTCCTGCCTCACTTCACTTTATTTCACACACAAAGGTGGAGGGACCACTAAGAAGCACAACTTGTCGAGTAAGGGCCCCTATACAGACATTACTGGACATGTAGGACAAAAAACATTACATATAAATCATCTACATCTGACAATTGACAAAGAAAAAATGTATTATAAATACGAGTAAATGAATCCCTAGACCAACAAAACAATAAAATCTGTAATCTGTAGCCTGTAAGGCTCAGTCATTTCCCTTGTAATTATTCAGTAAACACTTCTTATATTTCTATTTGAATAGCGATAAGGTGGGTAAATCTTTTAACAAACCTAATGAGTTCCACAGCTTGAAGACAGGTCATACAAATACATCAAAAAGCAAACTAGTTCGAACAGAAGTAATTTTTCAAAGGGGGAGGGGTAGTTGTGAGACTACCGATACTAGCCATAAGTACCACTCTAAGGGTCCACCCATAATAGGATCCTGGTCTACATTAATCCTGCATTTGAAATGGAGGGGGGGCACTTTCCCCACCCTCTTAGTACGGCCGCTTCGTCCCTGCATGGAGGTACCTCCGTGGAATTGGAGGAAAAAGTCAGCACAATTACTGCTGACATACCTCCATGGTCCCTGTAAGGCCAGTATGGAATGAGCAAAAGCGTTTCAGCAAACCATTTTCAGACTTGTGAATGTATCATCAATCGATAGCTTGGGTATCCTGGGGATTCACACTCCCCTCCCATGGAAAGTGTTTCCACCCGCCTAGGTTCAACCCAACTGCAGTTGAGTGTACCCAAGTAAAGTTGGGGCTACGGACACAGTTGGGAGCAACATTTCCACAAGACTGGTGTACATGTACATGTAAGTAGACTGTGGATCCGCGCGAGCTCTGCCACCATGAACTGTCATCAAATACCCGTAAGTTTGGACTTCGGATGATACGCTTTCAGTTTAAAGAAATTAGATGCTTTTCTTTAATTCCTACACGGGGGATTGAGATTGATTTTTGACAGGCCACAACAACCTTCAAGACTATCAGGACCATTGAACTTAAAGTGTGTCATTCGTGCTTCGACCATGTTTTTGGACGAATTGTCACTGTACATGCTGTAAGCCGCCTTTCAAACAGTCAAATTCGCCCCAGTGTGTATCAACTTAAATGGGGCGAAGAGGTTAAGGTTTTCTATTGCTAAACTCTGGTTTGATACAGTGACAGGGTAGTAGGACATTAAATGATGGGGGCGGAGTAGGAGATGGAAGTGTTCCATATATAGACATCCCTTGACACCCTGTGCACAAACCCTGTGCTAATGATTCAATATTTTCCCTGCTAGTAAATTTGACTTTTTCAGTTTTGGGACATGTTAGGCCATGGTTTTTAGGCCTATCACTTTCTGATGGCATGTAAACCACTGCATGGGAAAATAGTAGATGTCTGTATATGGAACTCTTACCCGGGAGATAGCTGTGATCAGGTGATATACAGTAGGCCATGGAGCTTAATAGCTCCACAAGCCTTATCGCAAATACAGCATGGGTGATTTTGCACAATGTAGAAAGGCATTGTGGGAAGGAAAAAGGGGCAGTGTTTGCACCTTTTTCCTTCCCACAGTGCCGTTCTACCATTATGTAAAATCACCCATGCAGTATATGCGATAAGGCTTATGGTAGGGTCTAGGAGCAGGAGATGGATGGGATGACTGGATGGAGGTGGAACATTTAAAATACCATTTATTTTAAATCCACAATGAAGCCATATAGCCATTTTTTTTAATTGGTTAGTATGATTTCCTTGCTTAATTTAGCAGCGCCAGTTCGTAATTTACATGGATGTCTCTTAACATGAGCTCTTTTTGAAGTAAAGAAGTCAAGATTCATGTGAAGTAGTGAGCCATGCTGGCTTTGGCATTCTAGTCTAATGTGTATATTCCAGCATTTGTAGTTTCAACATACATTTACCTGTATTTGCATCGTCACAATAGATGCCTTTATTTTGAAAAATGCTATTGGTATTAGTAATACCTTATATTAAATCTACATGCATTGCTGTTGAGCCAACTTGTTGTAAACCTTTTTGTGACTTGTTTTTCCCAATCAGTAACAACTGATGTGTCCCTGGAGTGATGATAATACAGGTTGACATAAGTCATGGAATGGTCGTCTTGAGAATGACTGGAGCCAATTGATACTTAGCAACAAAGCAGTCATGGACCGTTAGCTCTGAAAATCAAATGATTTGTTGCCAATAGAAAAATCTGACTAATGGCTGGTAGGCCCAATGGACCACCCATGGGTCCACCCAGGGTGCCATCAGAGGAGGAATTGTCGAGGCTCTCCAGAGAAGAACTCATCCGCAGGTTGCGTTGGACAGAGGGGGACCGTCTGCGCAGGATAGCAGAGCACAGCAACATCATGAAAGACGTGAACCGGAAGATGCAGGCGTTGAGGAATGATGCTCGTGGCGGGCCCGTGGCCAGTGACAGCACCACTAAGCTTCAGAGTGACAACCAGGAGCTGCGCGACCTCTGCTGCTTCCTGGATGACGACCGACAGAAGGGGCGCAACCTTGCCCAGGAGTGGCAGCGGTTTGGCAGGTACTCCGCCAACGTGTTAAGGACTGAAGTGGTCGGGTACCAGGAAAAACTCAAGGAACTGGAAATGCGCCAGGAGCGGTTGTTGCAGGAAAACCTGGAACTAAAGGAGCTGTGTTTTTTGCTTGATCAAGAGCGCCAGGCAGAGAGGAGGAATTCACTCTGTAGCCAGTGTAACACCTCCCTGAATTTGGCTCCCAGAGCCCAAGGGGACGGCAGCTATGATAACGGCATGTCTAGTCTTCCAGAGATGAGGCAGGAGATACCCTACTCCTCACGTGGACACCAAGGTAACATTACATAGCATCAAAGATATTTATAATGTACTATTAGCTTTGATCATGTACATTTTGTCAGTACATTTGATGACAGTACTTCACTTTGAGTACATCCAGCTTTAGATAGTTGTAATTCTCTTTGCTTGAATTGTTTACCATGTCATAAGATATTAATGACTCGTTGATTAACTACGTACATTTATTAGACACTGTGGCTTGTGTGTTAGGAAACTTTCTGTAACTTCCCAAATCCAGTACCACATGTATAGAAAACAGCTCCTAGATGAGACACCAGACATGTCATTAAGAAGGTGACTCCCACATCTAATGCTGGTAGACTGACAAAATGCATGTGCATGAAGCCACGATGAAGCCTAAGATGAATGTCAGCCTGGTTCTTGAACTTTGAATATAAAAAGTGTCACTTTGTATTGAATGTAGACAAGTCTTGTCAAATTTTTACAAACTGTGCGCTGTTTGGGGTGTCTTTGTACAGGTATATTAGTGCTTTAACATTCGAAGCCTCAGTTCTGCTTGTTTGCTGTTAATTGATTTTTGTCTGTTCTAGGTTTTGTAAAATGTGGTTGAAAACTAAGTAATGGTAAAGTACATTCTTCATACACATAGCTCTTGTACTTAAGTAGGCTCTTCTTTTTCAGCAAGGTTTAGAGAAAATGGCCAACACTGAACTCTGCAGTACTAAATACATGTATATTGTCGTGGGTTCGCCGTCGAAATGGGCAAATAAAAGGACATTCAAACAGCTGGTTTAATTGCGGGCACAGATCTGAATGGTCCAAGGTCAGAACACGAACTCTCTATCTACAATCTAGCGTGGCTATTTATACAGGTTGGGCTTGTTTTTATAGAGAATTAAGAACAAAACATTCCATCATAACATTTACCAATAAGTCACATAAGGTAGAACAAAACAGCATGCCGCGTAGCGAACATCAATGTCTCACGCTCACCGCAAGAGGGCGGTAGCGCGACCAAGCAAGCAAGAGCGCGCTGTTTACATGTGGTTCTGATAGCGCACACGCAGCGGTAACTCAGCTGTGCACTGTCAATGCACTGTCAAGTGGCGAAGACGCGACGCGAGTTTGTTACAGAAAATGTCTTTCCTTTTCATATAAGAATTGACTGAATTGGTGCACAATTTGTTCAAAAATTCCCTTTACAGTATTCTATAGACACAGCTCAGCAGTTCCTGCGTGTATGTACCAATGTATATAAGAAGCTTAATAACATTTATATACATGTAAAAGATATTGTTTGGTGTTCGCTGAGTCAATTCCCTTCTTTAACCCTAGCAGTCCTTAATCATCTAATTTCAATATGATACATACAGTACACCGTAGGGGGTTAGGATTAAGCTCATGCTGGTCAGGATAATTTGCCCTGTATTTATTTTCCTTTCCATTTTTTCCTTTGCCTTAGGTGACCAGAGTGCATATATTCGTCAGTTAGAAGACAAGGTGCATGTACTTGAGAAAGAGAAGCGACAAATGATGCAGGTAATCAAAATTTACCCTGTCAGCTCAGTTTCTTCTAGAAACATGTACTAGAACAGAGCCCTTGCACATGGTACTTGGTGAGCATCCCTCTCACATGGTATGGAAGCTTTGAAAAAAATTGTGAAGTCCCTGTTATGTATATAAACTAAGGACACATTTTTATCGGTATTGGAGTCCATGATTCTTTGTAATTATTACTACATTGTCCCTGCCATCTCAGCAGTCTGGAGAGTACCCACATAAACGCTGGTCGATGCTGTCATTTTGGCAAGGATGACTTGTCCAACACGACCATTTCTGCTCCTTGGGCCCTCATTTAGTTTGCCAAAAAAACCCACAGGCCTTACTTGTCTTTGCATATGTTTGGTGGAGTAATGCACTTTTAAATCTGTGTGCATATTTTATTTTGAAGCACTTACAGTCACTGTACATTTTGTGTCCATATTCGATTATAAGACTTGGAAATTTGCCACATGGGGTCAGTAAGTCACTACATTTCTAGGAGCACCATTTATGTGTCAGAGTATCTCTTGTACAACTTGTGTGATTCTGAGAAGTAGTGTAGCATGTAAAAGTCCGTAGCTTGTAGTTTCAAACAGTGTCCTCTGCTCTACAGACTGTTAAACATGTTGAGCTAACCACTCAGAAGAACCCCACAACTCAAATGGAAAAGACGTACATGTCAATTGAGAAACCACAGGCTTGCATATTCCTTTGTATTGTGCTTTTTATGGTAAATATGCACATGTGGAACTTCAGATTTTCTGGTCGTTGTATCTTTTTGCTCTCTAGGCCACGCATGGAGTGCAGCAGTATCCACCCGTGCTGGAAAATGGAGAGCCACAACCAGGCAAACCCAAGGTCCCTCATAAACCAGACTCAATGGCTCATGCATTGAAGGTATGGCTTACTCCCTGATAAACCTGTGCAGGTTACTTGCCCCTAAGGATCTTTGTTATTACAAGATTAGTTTTGGTAACCTGTCATCACACAATGAATGTGGGTCCTGTCAAGGTTGTTGTCCAGACTAATGAGTTTCAATTGCCAGGTTTTCTAAAGCTCAAAAGACTCGTGAAGAGAGGGCACTTTTACTGTTGTTCATGGTTGTCACTCAACACCCAGTATTTTATTCGTTGCTTTCCTCAAATACAAGAGAAACAAATCGTTTGACTGAGACCTTCTCTGTAGAAAGGTCATTATAATGAATCCCCACTCCCCCAAAAGAACATGTGATACTTGCCATTAAAACTGATAGGTCATTCTGTAAATTCAGGTCCAAAAAGTATGACCTTTGAGTTTTATGTCCCTCTTGCGCAAACCTTTGTAATTTGACACGGAGATATTTAAATTGGCTTCACATTATTATTTCTTTGTCAGGTAATTTGCATTACTTAATCACTCATAGAAATTTTAAAAATCCATTCTGAACTTACAAAATCATATGTCAGAGGTGGCAAGGACATGTAAAAACATTTGACCCCAAATTTATAGAATGACCCTAATTCCTATGGTTTTAAAGAACCTTCCTGAATCTTCCCATACCCCTGCACTGTACAGGAAACAAGTGACACATTCTTTGCACTTAATCTGTCATGGGGATCATCAAGCCCACGATCAATACTTTATCCCCCCCTCAAAACCTCCCCGTGAATCTTGGAGGATATGAAAGAGGTAGTGTTAATGGAAGGCTGACTAGTATATTGCAGTTAAAACATGATAATTGAAACAGGGGCTGACGTTTGACAGGTTGGCACTCTATTGTGGCTTTGCATTCACTGTTCTTTATGTACATTTGTTTTGCATAGATTTGCAGGTACATGTACCTGCAAACAGTGCAGTAGCTTCATTGTCTTCAGGTTGTAAAGCTCGCTTCTCGAATGTAAACTTTTCATTTGCTTCTTGTTGTGCAAACATCTCAGTAGATACCTTAGCGTTCCTCTGCAGTAGTTTCTCTGCTGATTCAATTGTCCAAATTTGTTATTTATCAAGTGTTGCCAAATGGTTGACAGCCTTTTAAGCACCTTTGTTCAGTTCACTAAAAAGGCAACGGGTCTTGTGAAATATTTCCTGTGCACCGTAGTTGCCCCAAACATATCTAGTTCAGTTCAAGGTTCTTTCCAAGTACAGAGGATGAAAGGGAGTGGATAGACATGGCATTTGGGGTTTATCTGATGAATTTCACTCCCTGTTGACATTTTTTGTTGCTTTCTTTTTTCAGGTACTGGAAGTGCATGATAAACTGGATCACGGTACCCCAAGTGGCAGTGATACAGAGCACATGAATGACAACCACAAAGCTATTGTCAGAGAAATGTGCAATGTAAGTATTCATAGAAACATGTGAATAACATTGTTCGGATGGTCTCCTCTGCTCTCTAGGCTATTTTATCACGTTCCTACTTTCCTCAAGTCTCTCTCCTCTGTTCAGATTGAAACTGAAGACTGGTTTGTACTCAATGGCAATTGGAATAGAAAGTGTTATGTACATGTATATACACACTGTCTATTTACGTGTGGCAGATTATGTAATGGTATCGCACACGATTCTGCTTTTGACCTGCGATTGACTCCAGGCCACATTGAATAGCCCCACTAGCTGTGGTCCAGAATGTGCATTATGGAGGTTTCCACGTTCTGCAAGTTTTTCGTAGATTATGAAATGCCAAAGAAAAAGTGTATTTTAAGAAACTTATGTAATGAAAGGAAAAGTCCTTTTAAAGATTTTTTTTTCTATCAGGTCCTGCTCACAAAAAGCCATAACTTTTCTGACATTTCAAAGACTCATGAATAACAAACACTTCAGTACAAACCTGTTTTGCTCTCAGCCTAACTTTGTGGACTCTCTTCTGATTTATGGAAACGGATTACATATGTTTACCCAAGTATAATACCATGATTGGTAACCTGTACTGGAGCTACGGTGTTCCTTAGTCTGATTTTTGGCAGCATACTGGCTTTTCAATACTCCCAGTGCAAAACGTAACAAATGGCCCCTGGGTAGTCCTTACAATAGCATGCAATCTACATGTGTGCATGCTTTTCAGAAACCCTGTTTTTTCTCTCTCTTTTTGTAAAGTCACTGAATTGAATTGAATTAAATTTTCTGGTATTTTCAGTGAATGCTGTCTGGATATTTCATCAGTGTTAGTCAAAGCAGCTGCATTCTTCTTCCTTACAAAGTCCTATGTGATATGTAACACTAGGATTGTGTTCCTTCATGATTAATTTCATATTCATAAATACCTGGGACAGTTTTTCTACTTCTGTTGGTCAAAATGCATCACGTAACTGTAGTAACATTTGATAAAGCCCGGTGTGATAATGCCCACTGCACAAAGCACATGCTGGTACATGTACCTGCATAAGAGACAGTTTAATCGATTCCCATTGGTCAAGAGTCACATGGCACGTGGAACCTGCCACGCACGTGCCAAGTCCATATAAGGAGATTCTTTTGGACTACTTGGCAAGTACATTGTACTTGCTCAAGGAATATACCATCGGGGAAATGAGAGTAAAATTCTCGAGCCTAGTCCTTTGAAATTTATCGTATATTGATTTCGTGTGACTCTTTGCCTAAAATGGTATCATGAATGGGAATGATATGTGCTTGGTCAGTCTTAAACTATTACAGTTATAATGCACTGATAATGCCCTCGCCTGCAACTGGAGCATTAGTCTTGTCCATTCTCCCGAGCTGCCAAGCATACATTCTTTCCCTTATTAAATGAGCAAGCATTCATGCAACAAATTAAACAGTGTCAATGGTGTACACTGTAGGGTGGAAGAGTGGCATTGGTTGAGTACCAAGGGCCTGTTTATTTCAAATAGATCCGAATCTTGATCGTTGATCCTTTGTTGATTCACCAACACCAGAACCTGCCTAATGGATCAAGTGAAGCTATGTTGGGATCACTGATCGAGATCCAGATCTGAGTGAAACAAACATGTACTAAGATTGAACTTTAATCCGAATGAGGAGGTAGAGGGCTGCGTCAGTATTGCATTTCTCTTCTATGTTAGATGTTAACGTGGACTTGCATTTCTGAAGAGTCAGCTTCTAGTCAACAGTACATCAACATTGACCTATATTTTACAACTCGAAACACAAGTTACATGAACAAACATTCTCCGAATCCCTGTGTTGTTTTCGTGATGAGAAAATTGTGACCATTTGATTCGCTGTGTTACTGTCTGTCTGGAAATCATTGCCAAAGCCAGTTACAGATATTGATGTACCATTATGAAATTAATAGAAACAATGTTTTCTATTTCTGTCCTGCAAGCAACTAAAAAAGAATCCTACATTTGCTTATTCTGCATTCTTGCATCAGTGTTCTCAAGTACTGCTAGAGTTTGTGTGCCTCTGCATCGTTATTATTAGTAGTATTATCGTTATTTATATATTAAATAAATGTAGCTCTTGTTGAAAATGTCAAATTGTATGTTTATTTTCCGTCCCGATGTTGCAGGTGGTGTGGCGTAAACTAGGAGACGATCCAACTCGGCAAGGCAATCAGCCAGCCCCTGCAGTATCTGCACCCCCAAGGTACCCAGGGGGGTCATTTGGACCCCCTGGAACACCTCCCAAATACTCGGGCAGCACTGGGAGCTTGGATCGAAAGGGACTCTAAACATTGTCTGTTGGTAAAGTTATCACTGACATTAATCTGTTGTCACTCGCATAAATGTAGGAATAGATTGCAGAGGTTTAGGTTTTGATTTGTTTTGTACATGTATGTATGGTCATTTTGGTTTTGGAGGCAAAATTGTGTTAAATTAATCATAATTGAAAATTATCATTGAAGAAATATTTACTCTATTCATGTACTAACCTTGAACTGAGAACATTTTACTGGTGTAGATTTGTGCCTTTTAAATTCAGAACATCCAGAAAATTCTAGCACTTTGTTTCAACTTTTAGCTGCTGGTATTTGTACATAGTTGTTTGTGAAATCATGACTGATACTTTATTGGAAGAATGTTCCTAGACATCTCAGTTTTTAAAGGGGATTTTTAAGACTTATGTCAATACTGTGTCACCTGTGCAGGGTTTATAGAAATCAAAATAGAAATGTTGCTAGTGGAATAGGAACTTTACCCTGAACTTTGC